GTACAGTACAGAAACATGGATAAAAAATCAAGCAGTGACATGTATTCAGTGTCCATTAATGTAATGTTTTTTTTTTTAACTTAGCACTACTGAAAAAGATGTTGGACAGTGAAATCATAGTGTTTAATGTGGTCAATTAGTAGATTATGAACTTGTTTTTGTAAGCCCATTATTGTGGATGATCTTGTTTTGTCTACAATTGGAGTAGTAGTATACCTGGCTTATGGGTCTTTGCAAATGAAAAGAGCTGCAGGGTGTCTGGAATTGTATGTGGTGGCATGGTTTAAGTTAAGAACTCTGGCCAGGTTGATGTGCATTAGACAGATAACTATTTTGCAGTTTGTGTACACAGTCATTGTCAATGCATTGGCATTCCTTGATCTTAATGTGCTCTTCCAATAGAGAAACTTACAATGATTTTTGGTAGTACCATTGTTTTGCTTTTCTTGGCTTTGAGAAGGATAATGCTGTTGTTGTTCAGCCATTCTTTGCTTTTCTTGATGTTAACCTTGTTTATATTCCTGGCTTTCATGATTGTTTGTTAGGTTGAAGATTGTTGACCACTGGAAGAAATCTAAGAGTTTCTCTCAGTACCAAAATGATTTTTTTTTCCAGCAAAACTTGGTGAATCAGCACCAAGTTTTGCTGGAATGCTAAATTTAACAATATGTTTTAAAAAATTTTGATTTTTTAAAACATATTGTTAAATTTAGATTTACTAGAGGTAAATCCAAAGTTGCCTGCACAAAAAAATAAGAACAAAGATTATGATTATTAGATTCTTTCGTACTTCTAACCCTTCTATTATATTACATTACAGTATTTGGGTTATATAACTACAAAGGTTATCTTATGTAAGTGTTTATCACACCGAGTGACTAATCTAACACATTTTTTAAATTCTATATTCTTCTACTGTACACAATTTAAAGAATTTTTAAAATGTGTTAGATTGGTCACTTGGTGTGATAAACCCTTACATAAGATAACCTTTGTTGTTATATAAATCAAATACTATAAGAAACATTAAAATGAAAACCATATAGAGTTTGGTTATTTTAGCCTACCACTGTTATGTTTATTGTGATACTCAGATGGTACAAAATGGCACATTTTATTGGTCAAATAGATAGCATTGTTTTCTAATATTAGATCTAACAAATTCACAGTCAAATATCAAATAGTAATCTGCCAACGAATCAAATTTTGCCAAAAAAAAGGATCAAATATTTAAACTCTGCACCCTTGAAACCATTCAAAACATATTTTGTGCAGGCTAGTACCATGTATTATGTAATTTTCCTATTCAAATGCTACCATACAGCCAGTGCAATAGAAAGATGAGACTGTTGCGGAAGGGGGTTGAAGTAATTTGATCAAAAGTAGTCATTGACCTCCTTCCAGAAGAGAGGGTGGTCTACAATTACTAATTAATACCAGTGTACTATTAATATTTAATATTTGAAAAGTGATCCATGTTGGATAGGTTGTGATTGCCCCCCGCATGTGATGAAAGTTGCTAACCTTAATGTCCAAAAGACTTCATATGATTTGTTTAAATAAAAACATCTAAGTAAAGGAAACTTTTGAAAGTTATGGCATAAGCATATCAGAAGCAGATTTGATAGTAAGACTCAACATGTGAATAAAGTGTACATTACACAGACTACAACTACAGGAAATTTTGAATTAAGCAATGTTGCCATGATAATAATTAGGAAAAATAAACATTGGCACAGAAAGGCTTCAAGCTCTATTTGTGCTTTAAAATCATTGCATGTACTGTACAGTACATTAATTTGGCTGAATGTTAGAACATCTTAAGTGGTAACAGTGAAAAAAGTTTGGGGCAATGGGTTTACAAGTTACTAAGGAGAGATGAAATCAGGGGGGTGAGATGTCCAGGTTTTGTGGTAGTTAAACATGTCCTTGTAAATATCACGTTTATAGAAAAATTATTAGAATTGGTTTGGTGTATTTGGTTACAGAAACGTGACATGTAAGTGATCTGCTGAGGAGGATGCATCCTAGGAATACTTGTGTAAAGCTGGTCCCTATTTAGGTGTTACTAACGTGAAGCAAACCCAAATAACTCCTTGTGGTCAGGTGGGTCTGCACATCACATGGATAACTCCATTGGTGATGCATGAACCCATGACTGACTGACTGACTTCTGGTGTTTGATAGTTTTATAAACTCAGTTACTGGAGGGTACTTGGGCTGCAAGTTGAAAAATTATTGACCTAAAATTTCCACTATCATCTATCTGGTTATCAGTCCTTTGTTAATCTCAAGAACAGAGGGTACTCTTTGCTTAATAGGGCACCAGTTATTTTTACTACTATTTTTAGCGAAATTTATATTTTATTTTGTAATTCATACATGTTTAAAATTATAATGAAATAAACTTACTACAATTATTTTATGTTTTGAGCATGACATCAAGTTTCAGGGTCTACAAAGTTTATATCTGTAGTTTACTCTCAAAAGTTCATATCTGTCTTCTTCTAACCCGACAGTTTTGTACACTTTCCAAAGATCATAAAATATTATACTTCTTTCTTTTACATTATTTCATATAGCATCAATCGATGTGTTAGCTGAATGATTTTGCACGGTGATTAAAAAACACTCTTTCGATTCACAGATAATACCCAGTGACTCTGTGGAAGATCATGTCTGTCATTTTGTTTTCTACATGTAAATTGACTTTTGTACACCTCAATGACTTTGTTTACACCATCTAATTTTACAATGATTGTATCAATTTTGTAATATCTTTAAACATAATGCCTATAAACATTTTGATCAACAAAGATTAAATATAATTTTGAATTTTCTAACTCACCATGTAAGATTCAAATTTCTAGAAAAAAACAAATTGCAGTTTCTTTGTCATTTGACAATTGTCATATTCTAAAATCCATTTGAAATTGAATAATAACAAACTGACCAAAAGGAACAAATATGGCAAACTTTGAAAAAAAAACATTACAGTGTCTAACTTTGAGGTATATCACTCCTACAAAAAAATGTAATTTACATTTCTTTGTAGGAATGATGATGTTGAATGATGCAACTATGAGATGCAGGCAGTAACTATGCAAAGTCAGATGAAAATAAATTTTTAAAATGTTATTTTAACTTTTGATATTATCCTAATTTTAACTTTAACCCCAAATAGCATAAAATAACAAGTTGAAATTCAACTTTTTAATTAAATCAACATGAAAATATGCTAATCATTTTTGATATCAAACATGTATTAACAATCATTGTTTAAATTCATAATTGACACTTAATAAAACATTCAACATCTTCTATCACTGAGAATAATTTATTTAAACACAAATGTTTTCAGCCTAATGGAATAGGCCATCTTCAGGTGAACTGGCATTCGAACGTATTTCAAAATTGTATTAAATGGAATGTTCGATCATTATAAATTCAAAATTAAAACAAAAAATAAATAAATTAACAAATCAATAACAAAAATAAATATACTAAATACATTGAAGCCATAACAATATAAATAATAATAATAATAATAATAAAATAAAACAAAATAAAATAGATAAAAATAAAATAAATACATAAAAATTAAATATATAAAAAAAAGGCATCACAATATAAGGGCAGATAGGGATTAAGAATTTGTATATTTTAATTTTTCTTTTATGATGATCTTCCATGCAGAAGCTAATCCCTTGCATTAATACAGCCATCACTTAATTTACTTTTATAGATTTCAATCTTTTCATGTTGCAAAGCCAATGATGGGAACCACATGGTCTTGAGAATAGTTGCTTCATTCCATTTAACCACTTTGGTTTAAGAAAATCTATCGATATTATCTAGAATGGGGCACTTCTATTTGTCATGCAATAGAGATTATTCATGCAATTCTATATCTTATTTATAATCATTAATTTGTAATCTTAAGTTTTTTGTCATTTGAATGAAGTTGACAACTAATATAAACTAGGACATTGCGTGACTTTGTCATATTGTGATAGAATTGAGATGGAGCCAGAAAGAAAGAAGCAATCCCTGCCCCTGTTAGGCATAAAAAAGGCTTTCCTTGCACTGGCCGGAGAGACTATTCTTGCATTTGTTGACAGGGAGAGCTTTGTTCATGTAATTTGTTTGTTTTTCATGCTGATTTTCTGTTAGGTGCATGCAATGCTGTTTTTAATTTTGACTCTTAGGGCTGAAACTCTTTAGGCACACAAACAATATTGCCACTTTGACTCCACTGTATATCAAAAACAAAGTTATGGACTCTTTATTTATGGATTTCTCATTGCAATTAGTGGAAAATGGCAGTTTCATCAAAATCATTCATCAAATCTTGAGAACACACTCAATTCTATAAGCCTGTAGAAGGATGCAAGCGACTTTTGGACATTGCCTGACAAAATCATACGATTTGTGTGACATCACTTCGTCGCATGCGCTGGAGTTATAATCATATATCTCAAAAAACAAAGTCATGGGCCCCCCATTTTTTATTACATTTTCAAATTTCCCATTGCAATTAATAGAAAATGGCAAAGTTTAATCAAAATCAATCAAACATATTTTCAGAATAAACATAATTCTGTAAGCCATATAGAAGAGGCTTTGTTAATGCACTGCCTCAATAAATTAAAATATACAAGGTATGTATATTAATTATATAATAAACATTAAAATTATATAGAAAATGAAACAATTTTTTTATCATCAAGTTTTGAAAATCTTAAACTTCACAATCAAAAAGACATATTTGATCATGGTTAGATCATGATAGTTCATTGGTTGATATTTTATATTATTTTATTTAAATATATCTGACCATGATTATATTTTAGAAAAGGAAAATATACTTTTCCAATTTAAATTTTATGGCATTTGATATTTTATATTTTTAAACTTATGAGATGAAATGTAGAAAACATTAACATTTAAAAGACAGTGTTTTTACTTTTATTATTCTATCTAAATTTCTGTTCTAATAGGCTCTGACTGGTCTTCCTATCACTACACAAACATCCATTGGAACATCAGCAAAAGTTATGATAGTTACTGCACCTTCTTCTACAATTGGAGTGCCAATAATTTCTGCAATTCCTGTTAATAGTTCTGAAAAAGAAGCAACTGCAGTGATTGACCCAGCCAGTGAGTTTTTTTTTCATTTATTTATGGTTTTTAATGTTATGTTTTATACAAAACATTATTGTTTATATTATTACATTTAAATTTGTAAACAATTAATACAAAAATTGATACTTTTAGGTTATGGATATGTGCATAGTGTGTCACATTCCAATGTCATGCTGCATTACATAGTGCTGTTTTGCATTAGAGTTGAAAAAATGTTTTATTCAAAATCAAATTTTATTTGAAATTAACCAAACTGGATTTTCTAAAACTTAAAATTAAGTATATTTTTGTTTATTTTGCCACATTAAAACATACTATTCCAAAAGTCAAAATTTATTTCAAAATTAACTATAATAATTATCCTAAAATCTTAGAGTTAAGTACTATTTGTTAATTTTCTTATATTAAAACATCCACTTATTAATTAAACTTACTTTCTTTCACTTAGAATAACAATTCACATATATAAATTGCAGACAAAACTTAAATCACCAACAACTCCTCAAGCTTACAAAACTTATATATAAATCTTTAACATAAAAATTAGGTTTAACAGCATAAATCTTACTATAGGTTTTTGTCTGTTTGTTTTGCCATAAGAATTCTTGGATAATGATGATAACCTTACTGATATTAAGTTTAATATTGATCAAATAGATAGTTTTTCTGTTAATTTCATAAATATCACAATTTTTTAAGTCACAAGATCAAATATATATTGCAAACATACTGCTGTAGATGCTTATGTGGAATTCTTATGACGGAATGTTATATAAATTAGTAGCTTTCCATGTACTAATAAACACAACCATCTATACTTTTTCTTTCTGACACACAGAGAGTAGGAATTTAGTAAAAATTTATACAGGTGGCAACATCACATGGTTGTTTAAAAATCTATTAAAGTTATAGGAAAATTAATTTAATTAAATTATATCTAAATAGATTCAAACTTTGCAAAAACTCTTGAACAAAAATGTTACAGAAAGAAAGTTTACTGTCACTGGCAAATATCTGGCTAAAATTATAGCTTCATACATAGATATAGCCCAGGGTTGGCCAACAGTTTTTGCCCCCAGGCCGAATTGGAAAGAAAAGTTTTTCCACGGGCCAAACCAGAGGCTGCCCTTGGAAGATTTTGACGTGGTGTGAGATCTCATTGTGGTGTCACTCCATGGAGACTGAATTGTAGACACAGATACATTTTTCACATTATCATGGTTTATCAACAGTCTACGCCAGGGGTCGCCAAAGTGGTCAATGTCGACCCCCAGGGGTCAATTGAGGGGTCGATGCGGCTAAGGGGTCAAAACCTTTTTTTTTTTTTCTTTGCTTATATAGAGAGACTACAACTTTTTTTTTTATTATTTCCTCATACACATACACTTGTAATAAAACTTTACGGTGGGGGTCAATGTGAGGCTTTGGAAAGTGGTTGGGGGGGTCAACGGTTAAAAAAGTTTGCCGACCCCTGGTCTACGCTGTACTTACGAGATTTGTAATGGAGGGTTAACTCTAAATGCACAGTGAGTTGTTGACGTTTTTTTTTTTCTTTTTTAATTTTTTCTTTAGGCATCAGAATTTTTCATCCAGCTATTCGGACTTCAGTAGCTAATATTGAAAGATTGATTGCGGGCCACATAGATTCATTACATGGGCCAGATCTGGCCCACAGGCCGTATGTTGGCCATGCCTGATATAGCCACATAAAATTGTTAGATATGTATCAAGTCATACAAATTTTAAGATCTGACAAATATGAAATAGATAAAGCTAATGTATATATGATGAAAGTTATGAAACACCAAGAACATTTTTATTATGTTGATTCTGTATTTAGATCAATCTCATTTATGATGTGTTAGTAAAGATAATGACAGAAATGAAATATCTCTATCACTCAAATGCTTTCATTATCTTCAGTAAATTGAGAGATTATTTTTTCAATTGCATCCCAACTTGATTTTTTCATGTGACACTCCCTACTTCTTTATTAGTTATTTTGCTTTTTATACTTTTAGTAAATACATGAAAGATGTGTTATGGTGCTGCTCACTACTGATATAGTTTGAATTCAATTTCTTTGCTTTAATTTGGATTGAACTTGTTTTTATTACAGTTAAATAATTATAAGGATCTTTTAGAAATCAGTATAAGGAATCATCCATAAATTATTTAATGTTGTTTTTATAATTTTTAACTATCATCCTACTTGGTGTAACACACTGTAACAAGTCATACATACACATCTGAAAATTACAAAATCCTTATAATATGAATATATAATTTAGTGATAAAAATTATATTATTTTAAAATATATTAAATAAATCCATAAATAATTTACAGAATATAAAGAAATTATAATTGTCATAATATTTGCTAAAACTAAGAGAGATGAATGTAAGTATGAAGTGAAAGTATTAGTAAGCTTTGCTGTTCTGGGGATTTGGACTGATATGTAAATTGAAACTAAAGAAATTTTCATAGTTTGAATCATCTATGAAATACACTCATCATTTAGCACTCTCAATTCTGGGCTTGGCAAAATGTATGATTGACATGAAAAGAAAACTATATTACAAGGGGACTTTACAGTCTTGGAAATTCAGTTCAGGATAAGACTTTGCAGGTTAGTAGTATACCTCGGGTGTCCACCCAGAAGAATTGTAAAGCGCACTATCCAGAAGATTCCAAGAAAAAGGGCTTTAAAGTTTTAATCGCAGCTCATGTACTGGTCAATTTTACACTATGGCAGCACAGCGAAATGGCTGATTCTGTAGCGAACTCGCAACGCAGGCAATCTAGGTTTGATCCTAGCCTTGGCTAACTTCTTTTTAATTGTTTTAAAAATTATAACAACTTTTAAATAAAGTTAATGACCTAAAAATATTATCAATTAAATCATAAATAATTTTATTTTATTTATGAAATGAATAAATTTTAAAATTTTCTTTAATTAAAATGTGAATTAAAGATAATATTTTATTTTTAAAAAGTTGAATAATTTCAAATGCATTTTTAATGGAGATAAATTAAAACTTTAATTACTATTGTCATTAAAAAGTTATTACAAATTTTAAGATATTATAAGCTGTGGAGAGGTTAAAAAATATTCATTGTAAATTTCAGGAACTGGTTTCTATGTGGAAGAGTAGAGTATAGCTGTTGATTATTATTTATGATTTAATTAATAATATTGTTAGGTCATTAATATTATATAAAAGTTATAATTTTCAAAACAATTTTAAAAAAAAAGATAGCTAAAGGTAGGATCGAATCTAAATTGACCGCATTGTAAGTGCGAGTTTGCTAAAGACTCAGCCATTTCACTGTGCTGCCATAGTGTAAAATCGACCACTATATGAGCTGCGCTTAAAACTTTAGAGCCCTTTTTCTCAGAATATTCTGGTTAGAGCACTTTACAATTCTTCTGGGTCGACACCCTTGAGGTATACTACTAACCTACAAAGTCTCATCCTGAACTGAATTTCTGAGACCGTAAGGTCCCCTTGTTAGTGCACACTTGTTCAGACAACAAAATGGAGGAGGAATGTTTATTTTTCATTTTGTTATTTATACTAATATTATAGGAAAATTTTAACACAGATCAGTTTATAACACAAAGAATTTTATATATTGTTTTATGAAATGTTTAAACATTATATTAGATTGAAAAACGTTCATTTTTTTTATTTTAATTTTATAAACATATGTACATTTAACTTTACTTTTATACTGTACTTTTATACATTTCTTTACTTTTACTGAATTCGTTTATTACTTTCGTCCCATTATGTGTTTAAATTTATAATATTTTTGGAATAAGCTAATTTTAATGAATTTTAGGATAGAAAATTATATTAAAAATTTTTTGTATACAGTTGTTCTGGTGAAAAAATTAATGGAGTACTGTATATTTAAACTTTTAAGTATGCTTTGACTGTGTTGTTAAAATTATGCTTAAATGATGTGTATGAAGAAATTTCTTATATTTTGCATTTATATGATAAAATTTATAAGCATTAAATTATTTGAAATATTAAAGTAAAGTTATATTGAGTAGTAGTTGTAGAGAAAAGGGATAACAAAAAAAATATACAAATAAATTTTAAAGATGATACTAAGAAATAAGTCATTCATTTTCAATAGAAAATAAAGAAGAAATTCCTGCAAAAATTTCTAGAAAACATATTTGCAATTTTTACAATTTTTTTTATAGGTAATACATAAATGTTTTGTTTTATTTATTAAAAATTTTAAGCAATTTTTTGCATTTATGTTAAAATTTTCTAAGATCCAATTTTGTTCTAACAAATGCATCTTAAAATTTTATATTAATAAATTGCTACATTAAAATATATTTTAATCATCATCTGTTACAACTGTTGCCTCAGTTATACAGTGGTGCCTTGTACTTCAAACTTAATTCATTCCAAGAGGCCATTCAGACTGAATTGTTTCAAGTTCAAGTCAATTTTTTCCATTAGAAATAATGGAAAATGAATTAGTCCATTCCTAACCCTGAACAATACCCATTTCGAAAAATTTAAAACAGTAAATACACAACTTAAGGCAAAAATAACAGGATTAAATACCTGAATAATTACTACACATCTTTATCTCAACACCGGAGAATACTAACAAAAACTCTTTCTGACCTATTACCAGTACATTCTCCTCTAAAATCATAACCAACAAAAATAGCTCTTTACTAACGTTTTCGAACCCCAACAATGGTTTGTCTTTAGGTATTTTTGAATCTTTGATGGAAATGCAGCTCGTAAAACATAAAATTTGAAAATATGTATGTTCGAATGCATGCTTCCCATTTACATCTTTGGTTGTCATGCACAGTCGATTCCAATACAGCTATCATAAATTACTGTTCATAAGCACCTGCCATGCTACTTATAGCGTAATTTCTTCTTTATGATTAATGCATTGATTATCCCTAAGGCTAGCTAAGTATATGCTGACCGCCTCTAGCCACTATGCTGGTGTATGTGCCGTGTGGTGTGGATAATTTTGGCTTTATTAAATTCGGGGTCTATATTTGGATCAGATGCATAAATTGCCAGAGCCTTCGTGTTGCTTTGCTTCTGAATTATCGTTGGGGTTCAAAAACATTAGTAAAGAGCTATTTTTGTTGGTTACAATTTTATAGAAGAAGGAGAATGCACCAGTAACAGGTTAGAAAGAGTTTTTGTTACCTGAATAATGAATTAAAACGTGAAAACCATAAGTGAAATACGTAAATACTGTCTAATAAAATAAAAGTTGCATTTATTGATTGCACACTATGGTCTTCCACATCTTAACGTAAATATGTGATAGATTTTACAACTATTATAATTAAAACATATAGAAGTCTGAGATTTTATTGTTTATTTAGAAGCTTGCTTTAAACGTTTATTTTTTGTAGTACATTTTGTTTAAATAACTTCAAGTTGTAATGTCTTGAGATAAAAAGCATGTCAGGTATATTATGCTTTGAGTTTCAAAAAGGATATAATGACATATAAATACAGTAGAGCATCGTTTATCCGAAGGTTGGTTATCCAAAACGTCGGTTATTCGAAGGAATTCCAGTCGACAAATTTAAATTTTTACCATGCTGTGGCGCTGTAATCTTTGGCTATGTCTTTGGCTACTCAAATATTTTACGTTTTTGATACTAAATTAACTTCTGAAGTATAATTTTTTATTGTTTTTATATTTTTCAATATATTTATTTTGTTTGTACAAAAAAAAATAATTTTTAACGATACAATAGTCTTTGTTAGGCTTAACATCGACGAAAATGCAACGCAAAGTGACATGCAACGGAGAAAAATTTCAACACAGGATAAATTAATATATTTTTTCGTACATAATTGGTTATCTGAAAAATAAGTTATCCAAACAACCCCAGTCCCCAATTGATTCAGATAAATGATGCTCTACTGTAGTAAAAAAAAATTTAATGTGTAAGGATAAGATACTTCTAAAATTTGAGTGTGTCAAATATGGTTTAAAAAGTTTTATTTGGGTAATTTTAAACTAAAGGATACAAAACATAAGGGGCATCCAAAAACTGTTAACAAAGAAAGATTGCAGAAAGAAACTGTTAAAAATCAATAAATAGTACTCAATACAATATATATAACCAAACACACCAAAAATAAAGTGAAAAAGTACTGAAAACATACAAGCATAATGCAAGAGTGAGAAATGACTTTGACAGATAACAGATTGCATTTATGCTTCAAGTAGATTTCTTTTACTGTGTGTGCAGTTCAAACTCTGACACAAAGTTTTGTCAGATTTTTGTGTCCAAAGTTAGTCATTCGAAGTACAAGATACCACTGTATATGATATTTTCAATTTTTATTTTAAATTTAATAATAATAATATGTGATATTTTTATTAATTAAATCTTTATTATAATTTTTTCATTATTTTATAGTTACATCAAACATGATTACTTTGGATACTAATAAAGATGTTGTAGAACCACAGTATGCAACATCATTAATCACAGATAGAGAAATTCTTGAGCAGAATCAAGGAATGCTTGTAGAAAGTAATGAATCTACTACTTTTTCAGTTGAATCAACTTCTGATCTTACTGATTCTTTACAACAGTCTGAGGTATTTTTAGAATTAGTATATTATCTATATAATAATTTTTTTTCAGATTACAAACATTATTTGAAGATTATAATGTTAATTTTATGAAAATGTAATATTCTGAAACAGTAGTTCCCAAAGTTTTGAGATCCACAGACTCAAAAATTTAATGTTTGCAGATTCATACACAATAAAAACTGCTTAGGCAAACACCTGCATTTGACAGGCACCTGTCAAAATGGGCAAAAATTTCTGGCACGGAATAGTTTATACATAGTCTTTGTATAAGTTATCTGTATTAAACAGTAGATGTGATGCAGTGATCAGAAGCTCTGGTTATGCCACAAAATACTAATATTTTGTTCTAAAAATACTGGACAAATCTGCATGCTTCCTTTGGTAGTTCTACTTTTGTCATTGTAAAATATAAAAACTTTGATTTTTCTTTTGTAAATTAGATATAAAATAAATTCTGTTTGAGTTAATTGAGTATTTTACTCTTTTTTTTTATACTCTTTTCAACTATCACAATATTAATTATATAGTAGTGATGAACAAAATAGAGGTTGCGTTTTTAAAACGTATGTCAAAAGTACTCTACTTTTGGCCACTACTGTAGATTGTAACCAGAATTTATGTTCTACTTAGGCATGCATTCATTCTCTTTTTTAAATTCTGAGTCCCAGCAAGATCCAAAAAAATAAATATATTGTGTGCATTTATGTTATATAACTTAAATAAATGTTTTTAATTGTGTGCGTGCATAAATAGTTTGATGCTCTAGAAAACAAATTACCAAAAAACAATTTTCCATGTTGAGATTTAACAATGAATGATTGACCACCATTTACATCAATGTCTAGTCATTGTCAACAATACTTGCTTGAAAAGAACATGATATTGATAAAAGATGTGAATGCTTATACTTATCATGTTCATCTTTTGCCAAAATGTCTGTATGTGGTGAACAATGTTTCTGGTAGGACTAGCTTGTTCTAATTTTGTTAAAATCTGTTTCAGAGGCATATATGGACAGAGCAGTGGCCTGTTTCTTTTTTTCTATGTCATATTTGTGTTCTGCAATTTTTTTATTCAGCGATCCATTAGTGTAATCAGTGTTTCATTAATTAAGAAAAATTACATAAATTTACATAGGTTTTACATATAACATCTGTTTAAATTCATAAATATCTATATAAAATTATTTAAATTTGTAAATATTTATACTAAGAACATAGAACATGATTTTAAATTTCATTATAATTGTAAAGTTTGAAATATTATATTGTTCTCCGTCAAGTTTCAAAATAGAACAGAATGTTTGACTTGAATCAGACCTATAATTAGGTCAAAAACATTTATCCACATGAAAATTAAACTTTTGCTTATGTTAAAATAAGGTTTTTTGTGTGTTGAGTAACTGGGTGATTATCAGTTCTCAAGATATAAGTTCAGTTTGCTGCTATTTCAATTAATAATTGCTTTTTATGGTTAAAATGTATTCTGCCTGACAGAAAACAAAAGTAGGAGTTTATAATGTTAATCTATTAATTAAAGCATGAATTAATGAGAGGAAAATTAAGTATGTGACATGTATTGTCACAACTTTTCTGGAAAAATATTCAAATGTTTTGTGTGTGAAATAATTCAACTTTATTTTTAATTTTACATAAATACATAATAACTTTACCAACAATTTGATTACATAGCAAGTAGTTGAAAGGGTAAACTAAATAATGCATATGGTCATAAAAATTTAGCATTCATTTATTGTGTAAAACATTTACAAGTTGTATGAATTCTTATGTGCTCAACTAATGGAAAATATGTGTAAATAGAAATGCAAATTAAAATTCATTTTCAATACAATTACTGTGTATATATAAGTAACTCTATCAGTGTAATTACAGAAAAATTAATACATATTGCTGGATAATTTCTGAACATTTTGCTGACCCTCTAACTGATGTGCAGATATTGGTTTGAGAAATGCAATTTTGAAAAATTGTTTTTCAAAATTCTTATTTTAGCTTTAGTTTTTTTTATTTAATTATTTATTAGTGACAATTCTGTTGATGAGCATATGGTAGCAGTTTATTTTATAATAATTCAATTTTATTATTTTAATTACCTAGTATAGGACTATTATGGATATTATAAAAAATGGTTTGACACACAAAGTGAAATTGCTATTTAGATATGTCAGAATAATTATTTTTGCTAAAATCAAGACTTTAGAACTAAATTAAACAATCTTATGTTAAATCAAATGTATAAAATTAATGGTTTTTTAATCAAATTGCCAGAGAACTAAAAAATATGTAACAAATTGATAAAATTAAAAAAAAAATTGTTTTTACTAATTATGTTACTTAAAGTAAAATAATTAAAAAGGAAAATAATGATAAAATTTAATACTAAACGATTATTGTAATGTTATTAATGAACTTGAATGTGATGTATATCAAACGATGAAAAATTAACAAATGTATAATAATATATTATTGGAAAATACCCCCTGTAACAAGGCTTAGCCTTAATGCAAATGAAAAAAAATTATTTGATTGAATAATTATTTTTGCTAACATTATCAATTAATAATTCTTGATTACAGTTTTAGTGCTGTTTTATTATTTTCATCATAGAAGGTTTGAAATTTGCAAATCTACAGAAAACTTTAGACAAGAATTTTATTGGAACAATATATTTTAGAATGATAAACTTCATTACTAAACTATCTATAGTTTTTCTTTAAAAAGTTTAAATAGTTTTTAAAAAAAGTAAAAGTTTTCTAGTGAAAGTAGTCATCAAATATATGACTGTTTGTTTTTACCCAGATAATTTAAGATTTTGAGTTTGTATAAAGTTAAAATATTTTATTTTCATGCAGGTAACTGTTGTGGTTAACCTATAGGTTAGCCATAAAAAAATTAGCAATGAGTTACATAACTTTTCTGGCTATTATGGGATTTTATTTAAAAAATAACTTTTGTATTATTAATTATAATGAATAAAATCACATGTGGCACCATCTATTATGAGATGATATTACAAAAACTTTTTATAATAATAATATTAATAAAAAAGTGCTAATAACAAATAAAATCTTCATTAAACTCAACTCCACTCAAGATATGATATATGACCTCCTCTTATCTCCTCATCCCTTGAACCTTTACCCACCAAAATTTAATAGCATCTATGATCCATATACACAAATACTGTGCAAAATTTCATTTCTTTATAATTACCCCATCCTTAGACATGGAATTTTTCCCCTTTTTTTGTTCAGAACAGGGAATCTCAAAACATGGAGATTTGCAAAAAACTAGGAGGCCAAATTTGACACAATTTCAATACTTTTCTTTGTTATATATGTTACAGTCAAAACGCGTTTTTAGTTAGAACGCGTTTTAACTAGTTGAAACTAGTTTATACTGAATGTCTTTGTTAAAACCTGTTTTGTCTAGTTAAAACTAGTTTATACTGAATGTCTTTGTTAAAACCCGTTTTGTCTAGCTAAAAGTAGTTCTAACTCAAATTCATTTTTGACTAGCAGTAAATTCTAGTTTTAATTAGACAAAACGGGTTTTGTCTAGTTAATTTACTGCTGTACATGATACTGTACTTAGATAAAACTAGTTTTAACTTTTAACATTAGTTAAAACTAATTTTAGCTACATAAATATGTTTGGGGGAAATAAATAAAGTTATGTACAGCGCTAATTTGGGTTTAGGAGCCCTCTAATGAAAATATCATATTCTGGAGTATGTTTTTCAAACAAAACTTTGGAGTTTATTCTAAAAAATTGTATACTGTGTTTGCAATGACGACTTTTTCACTGTCTGGCATTTTAGGCATCTCACCCCAAGTATCCATAATGCCAAATGCCATTAGGGTAAGATAACAAATATAATTGCATAAAATTAATTTTTGAATTTCTTAACCAAATTTAATTTATTGCATATGTAGTACAAAGTACTTCGCAGTAAGTATAACAGCACAGTATAAGTATTGTTAAGTTCCCGCCCGTTCTAACGTGTTCTATAGCTAGCTGAAAGCTTTTTTCAGTCCAAAAACTTTTTTGAGAAGTCCTTATATAATTTCTATGCATATCCTGCAATAAAACAAGAAAACAAAAGTTTATTAAAAATAGGCATATTGGAAATCAATTAACAAAAAATAGGCACGTTACCCCAAGAAAAATGTGGAATATTTTCCATTTGTTGGGGTAAGATGCCTAGTAGAGTCACATGCTCCAGCATGTCCGATCAGGGTCGGCAGTAGCTGACAATGGAAACTTTAGAACCTTAACTACATCACACATAATTGTTTTTAGCAATTTTTAATAAATTCCATTCTAACTTTTAGTTTAAAATTATTCTAGAAACATTTCACAACAAAAAGTTCGTTCTTATCTAGCTTTTATTCTTCTCGGATGTAGAAAATGAAGTAACGGTAGCCAACTACAGCTTTCCACACTCAATATTGACCCAACGATTCATCATACAAATACATGACAATATGTGACGTCATCGTTTGAAAATATAAAAAATTAGGCATCTTCCCTCGAATCCCTCTATACATTGCAGTCAAAACCAGTTTTTAGTTAGGATGCGTTTTAACTAGTTAAAACTAGTTTTTAGTTAGGATGCGTTTTAACTAGTTAAAACTAGTTTATACTGTATGTCTTTGTTAAAATCCGTTATGTCTAGTTAAAACTAGAATTTACTGCTAGTCAAAAATGAATTTGAGTTAAAACTAGTTTTAACTAGACATAGACAAAACGGGTTTTAACAAAGACATTTAGTATAAACTAGTTTCAACTAGACAAAACGGGTTTTAACAAAGACATTCAGTATAAACTAGTTTCAACTAGACAAAACGGGTTTTAACAAAGACATTCAGTATAAACTAGTTTCAACTAGTTAAAACATGTTCTAACTAAAAACGGGTTTTGACTGTAACATATACATAACAGCCAGGAAAGTAAAAACTATTTGAAATTAGATGTGAGTGATGTGATAGAATGGTTTATCTGCCAATTTTACAACTTGCAATTTATTAAGAAATACTTAAACACTTTTTCCTTTGCTTAAAATCACCAAGAGAGATCTTATTATATAAAAGTAAAAATTTGTTCACTGCAGATATATATATATCTGCAATTGCAGTTTTTTCTTAACACCATAAAAGACACATACAGATATGTCACATATTTTAATCCTGTTTTAGCATCAGTCTAATAACATTGATTAAAGCATTGACTGATACACAGAAAATGAATGAGGGAGAATTGAATAAAAATGTACTCACTACTAATGATGCCAAATTTAGATTAAGAATAAACTAAAAAGAATACTCACACTGGATGACAAATAAATTGCACTATAAACCTTTTGTTTGGTGTCAGTAATATGTACTGTACACTGCATGAATGTTTTTGGGATCCACCTTGTTTGGGTCCACTGAGTCTTGTTTCAGGTGAATTTCATTGTTTTGTTGATAGAACACAATCACAGAAAAATAAAAATTTGAATGTCCATTAAAAACAAACAAAATACAATGTCTGTTAAAGATCAAAACAATTTAAAAAAATGGTAAACATTAGAGCACTCTTTAACAGTATGAAAAACAGAATAAAACTCTATGCATTAGTATGGGCATGTGTACTGTTTCAGTGATTGGTTAATATGATTTTTTAGTTATATTTATTCTTAAAGTTCATTCTGATAATGATTCCTCTCATTAAAAAGCAATGAATTTTTAACAATTTAAAAATTAATTTTAGTCCAAGAATTATGCTAGTTTGTCCTTTTTACAGATTTTAAACATTCTAAATGATTTTTTTAATATTTTAATTATTATTTTAAATACATTTTTTGATAAATATGAAAATTAAATGTTAATGGGATATAATATTTTTCAGGCTGTTTCATTAGAAACAGAAAATGTATTGACAGCACAAAATTCAGTTGAAGAACCAAAAGAAATGGAAGAAAATATAAGTACAGGTTGTACAGTAAATGCAGGAAGTGGAAGTTGTGAAAAAACTGCTTGTGATTCAGAAGTATCAGAAAAAGAATGTATAGAAAATTTTTCTGATAGTAGTCAGCATAATAAGCAGAAGTTACATGATAATGAATGTGAAGGAGGGGGTTGTGATGTAAAAAATTTTGAAAATGAAAACAAAGAAGAAAAATTATGTACTGAAAAGATTTGTGATAATGAAAAGGAATGTGGGGAAAATGGTTATAAAAAAGAGCAATGTACTGAAAAGAATTGTGATAGTGAAGTCACCGAAAATGGCAGATCTGGAGAAGCTTTTAGAAATCCTAGTTGTAGCAATAGGATAAATTGTGGAGAAAAGTGTGATAGTGAAAAAAATTCTGGAGAAGTATGTAATGATGGTAAACACTGTGGAGAAGATTTTAGTGAAAAAAGTCAATGTTCTGATGAGAAAAACTGCAAAGAAAATTGCAGTCACAGTGAACATTGCAGAAGAAGGGATTGTGGTGATGGGAAACATTGTGGAGAAGGAGAGTGCAGTGATGGGAAACATTGTGGGGAAAAAGAGTGTAGTGACGGGAAACATTGCAGAGAAGGAGAGTGCAGTGATGGGAAGCATTGCGGAGAAAGAGAGTGCAGTGATGGGAAGCATTGCGGAGAAGGAGAGTGCAGCGATGGGAAACATTGTGGGGAAAAAGAGTGTAGTGACGGGAAACATTGTGGAGAAGGAGAGTGCAGTGATGGGAAGCATTGTGGTGAGGGAGAGTGCAGTGATGGAAAACATTGTGGGGAAGAAAAGTGCAGCGATGGAAAGCATTGCGGGGAAGAAGAGTGCAGCGATGGAAAGCATTGCGGGGAAGGAGAGTGCAGTGATGGAAAGCATTGTGGAGAAGGAGAGTGCAGTGATGGAAAACATTGTGGAGAAGGAGAGTGCAATGATGGTAAACATTGTGGTGAAAGAGAATGTAATGATGGAAAGCACTGTGGAGAAGAAGAATGCAGTGATGGAAAGCACTGTGGAGAGGAGACTTGTAGTGATGGAAAACATTGTGGAGAAGAAGATAAAAAAAATGATAGTGATGAAAAAAACTGTGGAGAAGAAAGTGGTGGTGATGGGAATAAAACTGGAGAAACAGTTTGTGATGATGGTGAAAATTATGAAAGAAATTCTGAGAGAAAATGTACTAAAGATGAAAATAATGGTAATGAAACTGAAATAACTGATAGTGATAAGCAGAGTTTTGAAGACAGAAAACTTCATTCAGAGCAAGAAGAACAAATCAAAGTAAAAAGTGAAGATGAAATTAATATTGTTGAATCAAATTTTGATGAAATTAAGAAAACTGAAGAAGAAAAGGAAAATGTCTTAACAGAAGGTAAATTTTTAACTTTATAAAAAAATAAATTTATCAATATATAAAGATAAAGTTTAATTATTAATACATTTTTTATGAAATGAAAACTGTTCAAATATATCAATATATAAAGTGTTACAAATACATCACATTACAAAATTAAACATTGCCAAACTAATTAATACAGTAAGACACTGCTTAACACTGCCTCATTTAACACTGATTGAATATAACACAGTCTGCTCGAATTGAAGTGTAAAAAAAGCTCAAAATTTATGCTGATTCAAATTATCGTGGCATTTCATTGATTTGTATATAATATGATTATTTCCAAACACGAACCAATCAGCAAAAGGTGACAATTCATCATAGTGCTGTACTTTCCTTAAATTTGTGTTTGTTTGGTACAATTTTGGAAAAATATAACATCATGGATGCCATTGGCAATATCTACTTTGCTTGGCAAGAACTAACTGATAAATACATGACCGAAGTGTGGAAAAAGTTATGGCTCAAAGTATCCAAGAATCCGAGAAGAGCCTATTGCTGTATCATTAGGTTGACCAAATTGTCAACCTAATCGATACAACAGGACTAGGAGATGTAGACGAACAGGATATTGAGGAGTTACTGCATATTTCTGGTGAGAGCCTTACCAACGATGACCTTCAAGAACTGGCAGAACAAGGAATTCATGTAGAACTGGAAAATAGTGATTCTGAAACGAAGAACCCAGAGAATTTCTCTATGGATTTTCTTAGTAAAAGCTTGGTAATGATAACCGAAATCATTGGCCAAATTGTAGTGAATGATTCAGATTTTGAAAGGAGTGCAAAAGCAAGACAAGGCATTTCTGGATGCGATCTTTTGCTACCGACATTTGCTTAAGGAAAGAAAAAAGCGGCAAATGAAACTACATGACTTTATCACAAAAAACAAGAATTTTGGAAAGGCCAGGATCTTCATCACAAAAAAATTGAACTTTACATTTCTCTTTGCATATGTTTGTGTTATTTAACATGTATTATTATGCAAATTAATATAAAAATAACTTAAAATTATAGTAAAATTTGTTAATTTTTGGTTGCGTGTTACTCTTTTCCTATTTACTCTGTTAAAATGGTCTCATTTAATGCTGCTTCATTTAGCGCTTTGTTGTCCAGGAATGCATCCTCTGCTTTAAGTGGGGTCTTACTGTACTAAACTCAGCTCTAAGTAAAGAGGTAGTAGAGAAATTGTTAAAGCTGTGTATAAAGGATCTGTAATAAAGAATAATAGATGCCAGCATATTAGATTTAAAATTCCCAATTTTGTAAATAGATGAATAAGAAAATAATTTGAATTTGAGCTTTTTATAATTTTTACCTCTTAAAGATTTTAGCTATCTTGTTTTCTTGTTTTATTTTGTTTTACTTTTTTGCATACATTTCTTAAAATTTTTATTGCTTTTATTTTTTATCTCTAGATTGTTGCTTTCATAAAATTTAATTCTGTTTTATAGCCTTAACCATTTAATAATGGAGTGCAATCAGAACATAATCCATTTTGAAAACATGCTTCATAAACATATATAAGATGTGTAAAAATAGGAAAGAGCACATAGTTCTCACTGATCAAACAAATAAAAACAAAAATAAGTTAAATGGAAAGACACAAGAATAGCTTTGTCCCCAACAAGAACATCTTTGTATAACCATTTCACTAATAGAAGTAATTAATCAAAATAATGAAGAATTGATTTCAAATTTGTAGATATGATTCCTAAAGTAAACACAATAAAATCATTTATGTATGATTTTGGAAGGTTTTGAGTAAAACTAACAGTTCATGGTAAAAACTTTTAAATCTGTTTTTAGAAAATGTCATGTAAGACGGCATATTTAACTGTTTACAACAAAAACTATTATACCAGTTTTTGAATAGAATGTGCAGTTTGTTCTGAATCATGTTCCACTTTTAATGGCCAAGACAATATAATAGAACAAATTATTACAAAGAAAGGGTTTGAAGATGAAACATTTTTACCAGTAATTATTAATAAACTATTATAAAATGAGTGAGTTATATTATTTACTTTATGTATTAACTTCATATTTTATATTTACTATTATATTATATTTTATATTAACTTCATATTTCAGCCTATAAATTTTAACATAACTATTGTAGCCAAGTGATGTTGAAGTTTATATATTACAGTTTGTTTTTAATTTTAAAAAGTTTTTGAAAAGAGAATATTCATATTCAGTTTATATTCAGTCCATGATGGTAATTAGGTTTGCCAATTTGGTGGTATGCATATTCTATTGTTTGCTAAGAGATATTAATTTTTAAAATAAATAGAGTCTAAAGAAAAAGTAAATATAAATTTATTGAACAAATTTTTTAAATTTTATTTTTTAAAAAAAGACACCACTTTAAAAATAAAATCGTATTGCACATACATTTATTTTCCAGAATCAACCAAAGTATAAAATATTCAGCCTGAACCTTATGGGCTATTTTAATGTAAATCAAATTTGATAGATTTATATTTTGCAATTGTTTTTTAGTCATAAATGTGTGCTTATATGCATGTTTTTTTTTCAAGAATCTTTCTTTTTCATTTTATAGATGAAAGATGAATTTCACTCAATTTTTTTGCTACTACTCAGCATACATACAGCATTTTAGTCCAACTATAATGAAAATCATAACAGATAATTGAAATATCAGAAAATTTCATTTGGTTTTAATGTCTAGTGTATTTTTAAAAATGGTGTTAACCTCAAAAAATAGTGTGATCTTTCAAAAATATTCTGATGCTTATTGCAGAACTATTGTATATTACTGTACAGAAGCAGTAAATAAAATCTTATGTAGCTTGTTTGTATTTTTTTGTAATTTAAGTTAGAAGATCATGTAAAAATAATTTGTTTTTCTAACAACAAGATTATATTATTAGGTGGTACACAGTTGAATACAGTTAATACAGCTGGAGGTGTTAAAATGATAGTAGTTTCATCTGCTGGTTTAACTTCATCTGGTCAACAAGCAATAACAATAATTACTACTGCTAATAACACAAGTAAGTAATATTTAGTTAATTTATTTCATATTTACTTAGTTTATTTTATATATATGAACAATTCTACCAATTATTTTGTAAATTTTTATACTTTTCCTATGTTTCTTTACTTCTGTAAAATGTCTCTAATGGTGGTCTTAATCATCTCTAATTATGCATTTTGATAAAAATAATCTGTAAATATGGAAAAATATTTTATTTCAGTAGAATGTCTGTTCTTCCATATTCTATTTGCTTCTGAAATAATTTCCTAATGTGATTTCCTTAATTTATTCTAGTTGTATTCATGTTTGCAATGTTCTTTTTCTTTTACTTCTGTTTATTCACTTTACAATTATATTATTTTGCACTTTATCTTATCTAAATTTTTTATATATTTAGCTAGTTACCATATTACAGCTTGCTTATGTACCGTACTTATTTTTTGATGTTCTTGATACAATCATCTCAATTTCATTTTTGTCTTAGAAACATTTTCTTACTTATTCAGAAAGTTAAATGTAAATATAGAGATTTATTTTTATGTTAGTTAATCTGATGCTTTCATTGAGTTAAATGAATTCACGACATTGTAAAGCTATTAACAATGGACTGATATTCATTTATTCGTGAGTGCATTAAAATCTGAAATTATGCTAGTTATGAAAATTTAAGTTTTTATAAAGCTATAGATATAAAATTAGTCTGAGAAATATATTTAAAACTTTTATTGTGTTATAGGAGGAAAAACAAATCTACTGTTATGTTTATATACTAGTACTAGTAACTGGACTGTTAATGTTTTCATTGGAGATACAAACAGAATAAAATTAATGCCTTTTAGTATGTCATATTTACATTTCACATTCCTGAAATATTATAATTGAGTCATTTAATCATTATTGTTAGATTATTTGTTAATCTAAAATTAAAATGTTTGAACAAATATCATTTAGTATTTAGATAATGTTAACTGGTGGTTTTCAGATTTTATATGAGAACTTACAAATTCTAACTGGTGTGCATAAACTAATACAGTAGAGCGTCATTTATCCGAATCAATTGGGGACTGGGGTTGTTCGGATAACCGATTATGTATGAAAAAATACATTAACTTATCATGTGTTGAAATTTTTCTCCGTTGCATGNACTTAAAATTATAGTAAAATTTGTTAATTTTTGGTTGCGTGTTCCCCTTTTCCTATTTACTTTATGTTAAAATGGTCTCGTTTAACGCTGCTTCGTTTAGCGTTTTGTCATCTAGGAATGCATCGCATCACCTGCGTTAAGCGGGGTCTTACTGTATGAAAGAAATAAAAATTTTGTGAAACTATTTTATAATAAAATGAATATAACAGTTTTCAAAATTGGATATTAACTAATCATTTACTATTATCTGACAAAATTCAATTGGTTGCAATTGGACTAATTAAGTTGTTTAGTGGTTATGAAATTTAAACTACAGAAATTTTTCAATCTTAATTATTGCAAAATTGGAAATACTGTAACTTAATTAGCTCAATCATAATAGCCAAATTCATTGATTTTGAGTAATTGATTAAATAAATTAATAAAATTATAATAATGGAATTGTATAATTTGATCATATCAAATAATTTTTCTTAGTTAATGGTAACAAGAATCATCATAAAGCTGAAAAAATTGCATTACATATTCTAGAAACAATTATACATGTGCATACATTTTGTTCTGTCACTTAATTGGTTTGATCATAAAAAAAATCAAAGAAAAAATTATGGAATGTTGATAAAATGTTACACTGCAAAGAGAATAGGACTTAAGATGAATTTTATTAGCTAGAAGTTTTTCTTCAATCTATGAGAGGCATTGCTATCTACAAATTTAGAAAATATCAATTGTTACTTCTCTATATTTTTTTCTTTGGAAATATTTTGAAAATAAACTTGTTTAAATTTTTAACAAGTCTAACACATTAATAACTACATTATTTGTA